TTATCTGTCTGTAAAAAAACATGATATTATAAGTCTATTCAAAAACCTGTACTTATTACTGGTTTAAATAATTTAAATCAGTTAGCTGTCTACATCCAGCTCTGTAAGAGTATTCTTGTGACTTGAGCTGAAGTCCAGCTGTCATCAGAAGAGAAGTACTTCATCTGCAAGAAAGCTCAGTAAGATTATAATAATATAGTCTTTGCAGAGTGCATCTCTACAGACTTGAATCAAAAGTGTAATAATTATCTATACTGTGAGCATCTTGCTTGCTCTTTCCAGCAGTAAGATTATAGATAGTTGTTACAGATCTTTACAGAAAGAAAGCCAGAAACTCTTATATAATTCTTAAATAATTCTTCTTTTGAAATCAATTTAATTTGATTTGACTATGTCTTTTCTCTTTCTAACTTATTTTCTAGTTTCACTACCTCTATTCATCTGTTTCATAAACCAGCCTTGTCCAGGTTTCTACTATAGAATTGTTAAAGTAGCTTTCTCAGTGAACAGATATTACTTGTGGGCACTCATGTCTTGTTCTTCTTATTATCATAATCTTTCTAATATACTTTGTACTACAGCTTGCAATTCTCTCTCTTTAAGTTAATTATCTTGTGGACCTAATACTTCTTTTTATTCTTATCTGCCTCACAAACTTCATGATAAGATAAGCTATCAATTTCTTTGTGGGTCTTGTGCTTGTGAAGCAGGAATACATGAAAAATATCATGAGTTTGCAGATCTGAAGACAGCTCCAGTCTGTAGACTTATAAGCCTATCTTCTTCACAATTCTACAAGGCTCATGCCTTAGCAAATTCAATTTTTTATTAGGCATACAGTCTTGATATTATGAAGATCAAGCCACATCTTGTCTTTTATCTGGAAAGTCTTTATAGTATGCTTCTGATTATAGTACTTCTTCTGGTAAACTTATGCCTTCACAAGTAATTTCTTAGCCTTCTTGTAGAGTAATCTTATTGTCTCTATCTAATTCTTTGAATTCTTGCACATATAGCTATACTTCTCAGAGTTCAACAGATCTGTTTACAGATTTAATCTATATATTAGCTGAAAGAGTGATTTCTCTGTGGAGGCCTGCTGTAAGTTATTGTACACAAACTCCACTATTAGTAACTACATTACTCAGTTATCTTGATTATAACTGATATAGCTTTGCAGGTACTGCTCTAGTAAACTATTCAGTCTCTCAGTTTGATCATTAGTTTGTGAGTGAAATGCTGTACTTATTACTCTTGTAATCTTTAAGATATAAGTCAAATTACCTCAAAATTCACTTGTGAATAGAGATTCTTGATCTGTTACTATACTTACAGATAATTCATGCAATCTCACTATCTTGTGAACAAAGAGATGGACTAATTTCTCTGATATCAGCTTCTTTGTTATAGAGATAAAGTGAGTTATTTTTGTGAGCTGGTTCACTACAACCAGAATACAGTCAAATTGCACCTTTTCAAAATTCAGGCTTGTGGAGAAATCTGTAATAACATCCATGCTAATAGATTTCTAAGAGTAATTTGAAATTGATAAGAGTAATAGTTCTTCTTGAAGTTTTCTGTAAACTCTTCTTAAGCTCTGACAGATCTTACAGGCTTTGCAACACTTCTTTATCAGTTCTCTCATTCTTGACTAAAAGTATTTGCAAGCTATAAGCTTGTATGTTCTTGCTGTAGCAAAATGCTCTGTAAAAGATAGATTATGATGATGCCTGATCAGCTTTATTTGCAAGACCTTATTCTAAGAGATGTACATGTAATTATTCTTATAGAGAATGCTCTTCTTCTCTTTCTATATTGTGAATTTCTTTATATCTGTCTTAATATCTTTACAGACTTTGGCTGCATAGTTGTCACTTTGCAGTAGGTTTAGCAATAATGCCAACAGGTTGAAGCTGCTCTTCTTATAAGAATTCTTTTCACAAACCAGGTCTTTGATCTTCTGAACCTGCATTGTAATCTTCTTCACTTTGCACATGTCTTTCAAGACAATCTTTGCAAGTAGTTTCTTGATTACAACTCACATCAGCAAATCCCTATCAGACCTACTACGCCTTACAAATTTTAGTATAATTTTTCGCGCTGTAGACAGTCTTAGTGCTCTTGGCACTACATAATTGCTCTGGTTTTACTCCAGGCCACATTTTTGATTTTCTTGTTGCTCTGGGTTAGCTCTGGTTGAGTTCTTCCACTAGTAATAGCTCTGGGCCTGCTGGACTTCACCAAATCATTCTTTAGTTATCTCTTTTACTTACCAAGCTAAGGTGCCACTGCTGCCAGTACTTTGTACTCTTAGCTATCTGGAAGTTCTAACTCTACATATTAAAATAAATAATTTCAAGGCTAGTAGCATTCTCATTTTTTGTAAAAACTCATGAAACTACATTTAGATGTGAGTAAAAAACTAAAGTACATCATGAATTCTTGAAAACTCTTGATCTCTTAATGCTATGCAGAGGCTGTATATAAAGTGAAGTTTTACACTTCCAACTATTAGTGTCTGATTTCTTAATTTTCTTGTTGTTATTTTCTGTTCCATCTTCTGGTGCCTCATTTTTCTTGTTGTTGTTGTCTGTTTTATCTGAAGATGACAAGCTGTTAAGATCTATCAAGAGTGAATTGTCAAGATCCATATGTTCAAGCTCAACAATAGGTGGTGTACTGAATATTAGAACTCTGATGGGAAGAGCAGAGTCTTGTAAAGATTTGTGTAAATTATCTGGTGTCTTTAAATTGTCTTCTGTAATTTCTGTAAAAGCCTTATTTTCTGATGGATCTGCATGTTGTAGAGGCTGCTCTAGATCTGGCTTAACAGATATCTCATCACTAGGTTTCACTGATGATTGTGTTACAAGAAGAGTCTTGCTGGTTATAACCAGCTTCTTTAATGAAACTAATCTGAGTATTTGCTGGATCTTTTTTATAATGTTGTCATCTAATTGTAAGTCTGTCATGTCTTTATATTTTAAATGCAAACAAGTTTGTCCAAATATTTTACAGTAGAAGATATCTACTTGTTTATGCACAATATTCTTGATCTTATTTAGTGAATTTGCTGTAGTATTGTTCTGTATCTTGTTATTTTTCTGAGCCTTAACATCTTCTGGAAGTTCATTTAGTCATATGACTAGTTTGTCTTTGAGATCACCAAATATGTTCTGTGCCATGCTAATGATTTGGGGGATCATCTTGTTCACTTGATTAAATTTAACAAAATAATCAAATGTATTTGCATTATGAAAAATCCAGATCTGTTGCTTTTCTGTTTAATCAAGATGGTGAACTCTTTCCATAATCTGTAAAGTGATATTTATATTAATTGCTGGTTCAAGCATGGCAATATCTGAGCAGTGATGATAAATATTGATATCAAGAGAGCAAGTACTGTAAGTAATAATCAAAACTTCAATATTACTGTCAGAATTATTGAAGGCATCTTGTATTTTTTGCTGTTTCTGGAATAACTGGCCTGCTTGCAGTGAAAGAACATTATACTCAAAAAGTTTCAAGAAGATTTTAATATGGAACTCAACAGTCAGATAAGTGATAAAGACTAAAAGATGATGTCTCTTGATGTTCACAACTTTTTAAAGAATCTTGAGAAATGTTGAGTATTTCAGTATTGTTGAGCATAAGAATTCTGTAATCTATATGTGATTAGCTGGAATACAGAAAATGTTAATATTGATGATTATTCTGCTTATAAGTTACATAATTTTCTGAAATAAGTGGTGCTTTTGATTAATGTCTTGAGAAAGATTACTCTCACACTTTGCAATGGTTGAAGTAAAAAGATTTTTCAAAGCAAAAAAAAATAATGCATGCCTGAGCCAGTAATAAACAGTCATGTCAAAACTACTGCCAACATCATTTCTGTTCTCAGAAGATTCTTGAGTATTACTGACAGTCTCTTTCTTTAGTGTTGAAACAAGATGTGAGTGAATGCTGTAATACTGTGTCAGCTGTTTTATCTGTATTATTTTACACTTGATTGTTCATACACTATAGCTTGGAATGTCTCTGCTAATAGTAATAACTCTGTGTGTACTGTCAAGATTCATTTGGTGATCATATATCTGATGAAGCTGGATGCAGTTGAGAATTTGATGCAAAGTAATCATTGCAGAGTATGATGATATTAAATCATATTGAAAAAGCTGATTGTAGAGCAATGGGTGCAGAATATATAAGCAATTCATACTAGATATGAATGCTTTCTTGTAAATTTTGAGTGGGTCATTAATTGCTTGAAAATTGAAATCTGTATGTAAAGATTTCTTATTAATAAGCTGCATAAAATCAGATAAATTGGAGGCTCTATTCATTATAGAGATTGCTGACATAATCTAGATATGATCTCTTGGAATCAAGACAATGGTCTTGTGAACAGAGATTCTTAAATTCTTAACTTTGTGTTCTTCATCAAGTATCACATGTTTGAAGAAGTTTTTAGTTGGCTAATCAAGTTTTCTGTAAAGCTGCTGAAGCATGTCCCTGAATACATCAGGAGGTTCATCTAGCTGTATGATGGCATCTGAAGTCTTGTATTGTATGGCTAGATTATCAGGACTTAAATACATGTACCATTGCCATATTGAATATAATGTGATGATAACTGTTGTTATGATTTTTGAATTATTTTTGTTGAGCTTTTTGAATTTGGATTTCAATATGGTTTTATTGATAATGAACTTCTTGAGAATATTATTAATGATTTCTCTGCTGCCAAGAATACTGTAAAAAAGAATCAGTTGAATACTATCAGAGAAGAACTGAATAATCTGATCAATTCAATTGATGATCACTCTGTTCAGACAGATAATCAGAGTTAAATAATATGATTCAGTTGACTTTTGTTTTTTTGCTTTGAGAATTAAAGTGTAGTATTATACAGTTTTTTCCAGTCCTGCTTCATTAGTAAGAATTCTGTCTTTCACTGATGACAGCTCTTGTATTAATTTTCAAGCAACTCTGATGACTTGTCAAGGTTTCAGTATAAGATTTGCAATCATTGAGTTGTCAAAATCTACATTCAAGTCAGAACAAGTGATAAGATAATCTGGAGCTTCTGCTCTAGTTGTATTGAGTGTGTAATTCAGCTTAAAGAGAGTCTTACTGGTATTCTCAATAAAATCTTTGTTGTTATCATTGTTGTCACTTATTTTAAGATGTTCCAGATGTTTGGTGTTGATTATTAGCCTATTGTTAGATCTGTGCTTTTCCACAAATAGCATTTTGATATTGACAGCATTTTTAGTAAACTCTTCAAGTAAGGCTTTTCTCATGTCTTTATCCATAGAAGGCAAAGAAATATTAAAGCTAATTCTATGAATAATCTTGTTCATGGTTTTGATGGCATTGTTGATATTCTTCTTGAAATTAGTGTTAATATCTTTATTGGTAGAACTAATTTCAACATCATCTTGAAACTCTTTGCCAATAGCTATAGTAATAGCAGCCTTGGCTTCTATCTTTACAGCAGAGTCATCTTGTGCATTTGAGTCTGCATACTTTAAGATGATTACTTTATTATCTTACTTATGATCTTTTTCTTGTTTAAGCTGCTAACTGACAGATCTCATCTATACTATATATTTCAATAGAAGAAGAAGTCTATATATATTCTCAGAATTATCATCTTTAAATCTTCTCTTGAATTTTGCAATTAACTGCTGAACAGCTTATAATGATACTACAGTAGAAATGTCATCAGTAGACTCAAGATTCTCAAGATCATGATTAAGTGAAGAAATTTCTGCCTGTATTGTTAGAAGCTTCATTTTCTTCATTACATTAATATGAATTGAGATGTTAAATCTGTATGCAGGGCCAGTTCTACTGAAGAAATTGCTGTATTTCTTGTGAAATATAGTCAAAATATAGTTAATTTCATCTGATTGCATCCATTCTTGTAATATATCTGTTATTAGAAAGTCTAAATATTCTGCAAGCTTTACTTGATTTTCATGAATTTAACTATCATCAAGTACATGAACTCTGAAGATTGTACTTGAGTGAGGATCTTCAGTCTTGGCTGTCTTGCAGGTCTTTGGTGTACTTATTTTCTTTAATAAAGTTGAAGAATCCATTTCTCAAGCTAGACTAAACTCTATATTAGAATGATAACAAGTCACTTAGTATAGTAGATATTGGGGCATACTAGCTGTATGACAAGAATTTCAAGTTAGAAGATGTATTGCATATCTAGATATATAACACATAATATTATAAAAGAAGTCTTTAAATGATACCTAAGTTTAATATTAGCTTGTTGCTTATAAGAAAGAAAGTGCTTATAAAGCTTGTTTTGCAAAAAGAATCTTACAGAGAAGTCTGTATATTGCTAATCTCTAGTTAGCAAGCTTATAAGCTTTTTCAAGATTGAAATTCATGACTGTAGAGAGCTTACCTTTACTGATTTAGAGAGCTGGTGAGCTTGTAGCATAGCTGATGAGACTGTGTAGATTAGTAGTTAGAGAGAGAGTTGGAAGAAAAATTATAGCAACAAAAATAAAGTGTAAGCTCTTAGCCTAATTAGAAAATCTAAAACAACATGTCTCTGTACCATATGACTAGAAAAGTAGCATGAGATCTAATATTCTCACATTTGAAGTAGAAGCTGTAAATCTTCAGCAGTATTTCTAAAATACATGCTATATCTTATGACTAGATAACAGCTCAGTAGATCAAGTAGGCAAGCATGGCAACAAGAAAATAATATAGAATCTCTATATCATATTACAATATCTCAATGCTACATGTGTATTTCAGAATAACAAGTATAAGAAACTCTATAGCAACTAACTTCAATTCAAAGTCATGCATAATTATGATGATATTAAGCTTGTTCAGAGTATAAAAAATGTTAAAATCAGTAATAAGACTGGCATTCTTGGTAGCTTGATGCTGGAAATTGTTGAAGTAGACTGGCATGATTATGCCAGCATTGTTAATGATGCCATCAAGATGAGATTTAGCTGTCTCCCCCATCTTGATCAAGGTATGGAGGAGATCTCTCCCAGTGGAAACTGCTTTGTTATTGAAGTAGACTGGCATGGTCATGCTAGTATTGTTAATGGTGAAGATGATCTTCTCTGGTGTAAATTGTTTGGTCTTGTCTTTGAATTTAAGATAATGAGCTTGCTGCTCTTATTGATAATCTTGAAGAGAAAGTGTTTCATGTTGGCTTGAATCTTAATATTGTTGAATTTATAACTGATGAGATACTTGATATTAAAGTCTGTATTTACAGAGTTTATAGTAACTTGATTCTTTACAGTATCATTAACCAAATGCTTGATATCTGTAAAGGTAATAAATAATGAGGTAGTGTGATTTCTCTGATTATTTGCAATAGTTCTGATATGACAGAACCTCTATAAATATTAGCTAGATTTCTATAAAAGATGCAACATTGGTAGAACTTACTAAATACTGCTGTTAAGTAATCAAGCTAGTAATACTCTCTTTTCTGCAGCAGGAGCTGCAGCTGCAGCTGCAGGTTATAATTACAGCAGCAATATGACTAGATGTAATATTAAAAGTTATGAAAGACAGAAGAGAAGAAGTATTTATATCTTGCATGATACTATCAAGCTAAGTCTAAAATAAACTAGCTTGTAAATATTATTGTAATATTATAATAAAAATACACTACTCTGTAAGTAAGGCCAAAGTAAGCATAAAGTGAAGCCAGAGCAAGTATAAAGTAAAGTTTTTATTATTATATAACAATTTACTAGTAACTAAATTTTTAAATGATGTTTTTCTATTGCTGTTGTGCTGCTTGTAGCAAGTGAATCTTTATATTAAGTAAATTAGAGAGACTGTGTGCAAAATGTTAAGTGTTACTTAACTGTCTTCAAGAATTCCAGTCTTCTCAGACTGAATTAGCCACTTCAACAGACTCAGAGATTCAAGAACATGCTGATAATCTTAACACTACTGAAATCTCTACTGGTGAATGGGATTTTGTCCATGACAACTATAGTGACTGGTTGGCCAATATGAGGAAAGAGAACATTAAAATAAATAAGCCAGAAATCTTGTTACTTGAAAGTGCTGTAGCTAGCAATCTTTCATCACAAGAAGATTTGATTACAAGTAATATTAATACTGATGGCAAGAGAGAATGTACAGAACCTGCTATCAAAAAAAGCTCAAACTTTTATATTCTGGTTTCATCAGTTAAGCTTTCTGTTGCATCCACAACCCACATCATCACATATGAGATGACAGGTTAAAGAGCAGGTGTATCTGTTGATATTTAAATTAAATCTGATTCTGAATATCTGAAAGAACATAATCTATTTTATCCATTTTGTAGTAAGATTAATTATGAAATAGCAAGTTTCTTTTTTAAAGTAAAACTCAGCAAGAGAAATATTAATAACTTCTTGAAGAGCTCTTCTCTATATAGTATCACTACATAACTGAGTTTTCATAATGCAGACAAGTTCTTCTTGAAAGTTGCTGAGATCTTACATGGTCATACTGCAAGAAATTGGGTTCAGATAAATGTAACAGTTCTTTTGTCAGAACTAGATTTGCACTTTAAGATATACAAGCTTCAGTATCAGAAAGTTGAATATATTATTTGACATCTTCTTGACTATAAATTATTTCAGGAACATCTGATATATGAATTAGTACAGTACTTTAATCAGAGTAATGATCAAGTGTATACAGAAATACATACTGGAAATTGGTAGTGAAATATACAGAAGAACTTTTCTGATAATGCAACTGTAGTATTAGTATTGATTATGACAGACAAAATACAGCTTACTAATCAACATGAAGACTTAAACTTATAGTCTGTATATCTCTTAATTGAAAATTTAAGTAATATGGCAAGACAGTCTTATAATATAAATGGTACAATGCTTGTTGAATTTCTCCCATCACTAAAGAATGCATCATGGGAACTCAAATTCTGAGTATATTATAAGTTTATAAGAATTATACTGAAGTGTAAGTCTTACTTTAAAGCACTACAAGTTCCTGTTATTGCAACATATAATCTAGCTGTATAGCTAGATATATGCTGAATCTGTTGGCAAAATTGACTGACAGTTGGTTGAGTTAATTAGTACTTGAATACTTGTATAAAACAGGCTTCATGATTAAATGTGCTGATGAATAAGTTTGAAACTGTTTTTCTATTCTTGCTGGAATAATAGCTGACTATAAAGAACAAGTGTTGATAACTGAAGTCAAAAGTGGTAGATACTACATCATTTGTACTGTTCCACCTAATGCACAAGAGAATCTGACAGAATTCTGGCCAATGAGAATTCATGAATACATACTGGCAATGCTTCAGAACCAGCAGGATACAATAATAACCAGAAGACTTGATGAAATTTCAACAAGAATTAAAGAAATATGAATTCATGCTGTTCTGAACTTTATATGGCACCATTCATTGGTAAATGTTCACAATATTATGATGATTGACATTCTCCACCAATTGCTTAAAGAGCTAGTGAATCATTTGATTAACTGATTAAAGACTTTAATTAAGAATGTCTTCAAAGCAACCTGTCAAGAAAAGAAAGACTCTGATTCTATCATTACTATATCAGATGCTGGAGGTATTGCAAGACTTGATAAGTGATTTTGACAGATTTCTGTATATCATTCACTAAAGTACTTTAAGAAGTTCAGTACTATAAGTTAATAGACTGGAGTTCAACAGAGAGTAGTTGTGTAACAGTTAATTGTAGTAATTACTTCAATACTGATAAAGATAAAGCCAGCTGCTGTACTATTTGCTTGTGCTGTACTTGATCTGCTTTTTCTTGTGTGATATTGGTTGCATGATAAGAATACATTAAAATATATTGAACATACACTGTATTGAATTGACAGACTTAAATAAGCTTTTAGTAACTACTGAACAAATAACAAAGATTCTGCTGAGAGTGAGCATTTTAACTTTCTAAAGTTCCATGTACTTGTTGACTATATGTAATTTATCTGTAAATTTAGAAGTCTTGATGAATTTGACACTGAGAATTATAAGATATTACACAAACATTTAGTTAAAAAGCTGTTCAGTAGAACTAATAAATAAGAATTATATCAGAATCAAATAATTAAACACAACATCTGCTGCATGAACATAATATTAATTGAGAATACAATGCTTGATGATAAAATCCTGAATCAAGAAGCAGCAAGAGCAGCTAATGAGCTAGAAGTCAAGAACACATGCCTGTCAGAGACAGTATCTATATGTGACTTGGGATAGCAGATGTCTGAACTGAGTTCTAGAAATCTTCTCAAGAATCAACTCACTGCTGCAGATCTAGCCAGCCAATTGAAAAGTCTGAATAATGAATTTCTTGAGACACTTGCTGTATTTGTTTAGAAAATGTAAAAGCAATTGAATATTATAAAATCTGGAGAAACTTGTGCTTTCAGTAATAAATAAGAGTCTTAATCAGATTAGATCAAGATATACTGTCTTTAAATTCACTAATCTATCATAACTTGGAAACTGGATGGAAAGAATGACTCAAACTTAGAAAAATTAATCAAGAAAATTATGCATTGCTTACTAGCATGAATGAGAAAAACAAATTTCTGGTGGCAGAATTATATTTGGGTTCAAGTGCATGAACTATTTCAGGCAAGTAGATTCATATTGAATAGCAAGATGATTAGCCAGCTTGTGATTATAATAACAGTTCTTGATTATAAATGAACAGAATATATAAGAAATTAAAAGACTAATATATTATCTGTATGATCTGCAATATATAGTAGTACATTTATTGACATGTTACAGATCTGTACTAGAATTCTGTATAAGATTCATGATATAGTTAAGATGGAATTGCCTGCAATACCTCAAAAGTCTCTGGTAAAAGCTGTAATCTTGATAAATGATAAATCTACTTCATGAAAAATATCATCTGTAGTGCATATGTTGTTCCAGCAACAGAAGATAAGTCTTTATACAGAGGTAAAAAACTTTTTTATGTGAACAACTATATTGACTGGAACCAGTATACAAGTTTATATGACCCAGATTTTATGAACACTAGTACAGCACTAGCAAATAAGTTTTTCTCTAAACTTTAACAAGAGATAGTGAATAGAAAAGCAAAATCTGATGGAGAATCTGAGAAAGAATTAACTAAGTAATTAAAATATTCAAGAATACTTGTCAGCAACTGAAAAGTTTCAGTAAATTATTAGATACATTTTTTTTACTGCTCTACTTAACAATATTACAATGAATTATTTATGCCAGAGATGAGATAGAATATCTTCATGATAATTATATAGTCAGTTGAATGGCCATAATATCTAGCTGTATGACAGATGTGCATGTCTGTCAGACTCTTGCTGTATAACTAGATATATATTCCAACATGACTTTGAGATCCTGTCATCTGTACTTTGTAACTATAAAGTTAAATAAAAAGAATACATATACTTAACATGAAACAACACTATACTTATAAAGAAAACAGTAGCTCTTAATAAATAAAAGTACTCTGTATATTGATGAAGATTAAAGCATTTTTTACAGCTGTACAGAATACAGAGTAACTAGTTATCTAACTAGCTAACTAGTTACAGAGTAACTCTGTAACTCAGTTAACTAACTTGTTAGTTAGTCAGTCATGTGACTTATAACATCTTCCAATCTCTTACAGTAACTTTACAGGCCCCAGTTCATGTTTTGCATTCTGGAACTTGATAAGTTACATGGTTTTTTTTTGATTATTTATTACATGTGATTTAATTTGAGAATCTGTTATTTACTAAGTGATTTTCTCAAGTAATACTGACAATGGTCCTCAGAAATACATTTTTCAGGCAAAGCCATGCAGCTAGCACCAGATTACTGAAAGTTAAAGATTAAAAAGTGTTGATGATTAAACATGAACTGAAAATTAACTGTAACATATATTAATTACTATATTGCTCTGTTGAATAAGAGATGTACCTACAACAGATATTTGAGAAGAAGCTTAGTATATAAAAGAACAGAAAGAAACTACTTGATGTTATTCAGCAAATAATTACTTAATATGATT